GTCTCTTCCAACCCGGACAATTCTGTGATTCTACGACCCGCTCTGCCCCCGCAGCGCCTCTGCGACTACGTGTGCGACCTTCTGCTGGAGGAGTCCAACGTGCAGCCCGTCTCCACGCCCGTCACTGTCTGCGGGGACATCCATGGGCAGGTAACAGCCACCTCCCCTTGCAGCACTGGCACCCGGAGCGGGGGCGAACCCAGCCCCGTTCCCGGTGCCCTCACTCCTCCTCTTCCTCCCCGCAGTTCTATGACCTGTGTGAGCTGTTCCGGACTGGCGGGCAGGTCCCCGACACCAACTACATCTTTATGGTACTCGTCCCCCGCTCCTTGTCTCTCTCTGCAGAGGTGGTTTTTTTAAAAAAAAACACCACAAAACAACAGATCGGGAGTTTGAACCCCAGCCTGCGTGTCGGGTTTTGATCCTTGCTGGCGAGTGCCAGGTTTGCTCTGGTTGTTTGGCTGTGAAACAAGGGGTTTATTTTTCCGTATTTTTTTTTTATTCTTCTTTATTTTGTTGAGCAAATGACAGGTTAGGAGGTGTGAAAGGGCAGGAGAGGGAGGGGAGGCCCGCCAAGCATTTTAGGGGGACCCTGGTCAGCGGGTGTCACGTCCCTCTCCTGGCCAAGGAGCCTTTTTTCCCCATTTACAAATATTTTTCCGACTCACAGGGTGATTTTGTAGACAGAGGTTATTACAGTCTCGAGACTTTCACTTACCTCCTCGCCCTCAAAGCCAAGTGGCCCGATCGCATCACGCTGTTACGAGGCAATCACGAGAGCCGGCAGATAACGCAAGTGTACGGATTTTACGGTGAGTTTTTCCCACAGCGGTGCTGCGTTCATGAAGCAGAACGTGTTTTCCTCTGGATCTCGCCGTTCTTTTCCTCTGGTGTTTGGGTTTTCGGTGCCTCCTGAGGGAGGCTGTAGCGAGGCGGGGGTTCTCCCTAGGAGAAATGGATTTAACTTGCACCAGGGGAGGTTCAGGTTAGATATGAGGAAGAATTTCTTTCCTGAAAGGGTTGTCAGCCATTGGAACAGGCTGCCCAGGGAGGGGTTGAGTCCCCGTCCCTGGGGGAGTTTACGAGACGGGTGGGTGTTGCGTTGGGAGGAATCGTTTAGTAGGTTGACAGGGCTGGGACAAAGACTGGACTTGATGATCTTGTAGTTCTCTTCCAGCTGAAACTATTCTATGATTCTGTAATTCTCCTCTATAAAATTGGCTCAGTTAAGCCCTGGGTGAGCCTGGCTGGCGGCAGGAGCTCCGTGTCCCACTGGGCCAGGCATTCGTTCCCCGTCTGGCTCGCTGAGCTTACTGTCTGGATGTTTATCTGAAAAACCCCCCACTTCTCCGATGTGGTGGTGTTGGGTCAGAGGCTGGACTTGATGATCTCAGAGGTCTTTTCCAGCCTTGACAATTCTGTGATTCTGTGATTTAACAGACGAGTGCCAAACCAAATACGGGAATGCTAACGCGTGGAGATACTGCACCAAAGTGTTCGACATGCTCACGATAGCAGCTGTGAGTGCGAACCCCACATCTGGCGCGAGCGGGTCGTCTGAGCGCGGCCGCGGGCC